CAGCTCCTCCTCTGTCCAGTGTTCAGCCTTCCAAACCTACTTCCACAGCGGCAAACCCCTTTAAGATACAGAAAGTGAAGTCTTCAGACCTCAAGTCCTTTGAGTGTATTGTGAGTGAGGAGAAGGATAAGCCTGCACAGGTTGACCAGGCCACCAGCCTCGGAGCAGGACTGAACCTCTCTGTGCCAATGGAGAACCTGGAAATTATCTCTGACACCGAGGATGGAGATGCAACTGCAGTTCTCCCTGACTGGTTGAAAGAAGGGGAGTTCGTGAATGTGGGGAACAATAAGAGCGGCACTGTCCGTTACATCGGACCCACGGACTTTGCAGCGGGTACCTGGGTGGGAGTGGAGCTGGAGGTACCAGCAGGTGAGTAGAGCTGTCCTGTCTCTATCAGATGCATTTTAATTGATCTTACTGCATTCTTCACATACATTATGCTCAGTTCTGTCCCCACTCAGAATCTCAAACAACCCTCTCTTCATCTTTCTCCAGGGAAGAATGACGGTTCAGTGGGTGGCAAACACTACTTCCACTGTAACCCTGGTTACGGCGTGCTGGTAAGGCCAGACAGGGTGAGCCGGGGCGGCAACAAGCGCCGACGCCAGCATCAAAAGCGCCGTAGTGCCAACCTGTCTGGATCCAGCCCCAACCTGGCAGCTCTTACTGCTCTGGCTAAAGGTGAAGGTGGTGGGGCATCAACGGGCCGCAGCAGAGGAGAGAACCGCAAGTCATGGAACACTTGAGATGCTCAGTATCGGCTAATTCCTGGACACCCGCCTACAGCAGCTGATTGATGTGATTGTAGGGTGAGCTTTCAGAAAGAGAGACAATACAATGTTTTATTGGGCCAGATCGACCACAGGCTCCACTTTATCTGATCCTCTACTGTTAGGTTTTAGCGACACAAGATAACTCAGTCCACGCTCCTGTGTGGGTACAGGGAGACCTCTCACCCCTCATCATATTAAAGGACTCCATCCTACCTAATGTACTTAGTATTCGAAAATCACAAAGAAATATAGTTTTACCAGAAAATGTTAATGTTTTTAGGTATATAAATGTATGTAACAACCCCTTTCTCTGTTATTAATTTCATTTGAAATGGTGGTTGTCTCAGTTTGGGATGGATTATTCCAGGGACACTATCAAAGGGCTGTCTCAAAATCAGCACATTTTTCCTTTCAATATATTCTGCCACTTGCCCGACAAAAGTATATTTGCATGTACATCAGTCAGCCAATCCATTAAAACCACGGCCAGGTGAAGTGAATTATGTTGATTATCCAGTTACAATGCAATGTTCTGTTGGGAAACCTTGGGTCCTGGCGCTTAAGTGGATGATACTTGACATGCACCACCCACCCTGTCATGTGGTGTCTGGTGTCTAGTGGCAGGTTCTTTGAGTCCTGTTGGTAGTGATGTGGGGCACCACCACGTCCCACAGATCCTCAATCGGATTGGGATCTGGGAAATTTGGAGGCCAGGTTGAGGCCTTGAGCTCTTTGTCACATTCCTCAGGCCATTCCTGAGCGGTTCTTGCAGTGTTACAAGATGCATTGTCTTGCTGGGGGGCCACTGCCATCAGGCAGTGCCGTTGCTATAGGGGAGTGAGTGTGTCAGGTGGCATCCACATGAATGTCAAGACCAGAGTTTCCTAGCAGAACATTGCATTGAAATGAGATAATCAGTGTTATTCACCTCACCTCTCAGTGGTTTAAATGTTGTCTGATCTGTGTAGAATTAAATGTTAATAGTATTTAAAGTTAACTGGATTACTGTACACTGTACTGCATACACTTTGATGTGCTCAGAGTTCTAATGTTCAAAATGTGTTATGCAGCTACATGTTTGGACAGACGCCCAAGTATTGCAAATTGTTTTATACCTTTTGTATAATTTTATTCTTGTGCCTTGAAATAATCACGACTACTACTCCACAGATGTGCCTTAGTGATACACCACCAAATTCTGTACTGCTGGAAACTGTCTTGACTGAGCTTATTTCAGCTCTTGAATGTGTATTTTTACTCTTTTAGGAAAAATAAACTTGCACTCCTTTTCTGATGAATTCTACTGAAATCTTGCAACATTTTTAATCAATGTTGTCTCAAAGCAAGTGTGTCAAGATTGATTGATAGTGACTTCATTTTAAACAGAGATAAAGTGAGACTGTTTTTTGGGTATTTTTTTTTTTTTTTCCATTTCCAAGTTTCGAATGACACTGTATGGAATACTTAAGGGGTTTGTCGGTTGGAACGCATTTACTGTAGTATTAATTTTTGTCTGGTAAATGAGATTTTATACTATGCCTGAATGCTTATTTATTTGAAGATGAAAACATGTATTGATGATGAAAAGCAAAATCAACTTTTTATATTGTTAAATAAATTTCGTTTTGCTCTTGTCAATCAGTGTGTGACAAATCTGTGTCCACATTAGAATATGAGTAAACTAGAATTTGACCCTTTTTCAGACATGTAAACATGTCATAGTTGGAAAAGCACAGGTGTATTTTGTTAGGCCTCAGTAACCTTTGACCACCAAAATCTAATCCCAGTGGACAATTGTGCCAATTTTGAAGACATTCCCTCAAGGTGTTCTTCAGATATGTTAACAAGAATGAGGTTGAGGTCACAGTGAGGTCCTTGAGCCCAACCGGACATTCATGCCAAATCTGAAGAAACTCCCTTGAGATATCATGTTTATGAGAGTGGAACAGATGGATGCACAACCTGAAAACAATGTCCCCAGTCAAAGTTATTGCTGGTGTGGAGGCATGGCAACAAGATAGTAAATCCAGAAAAGGTCTCATTGATATAGCTTTATTCTCTTGTACATTATATATATATCATACTAAAATAAACACAAGTTAAAAAATGAACAAAGAAACTGTACAAAAAAATGTATATATACTACATCTTAATTACAGAACAGTCTACTGTCCAAAAAAGGCACTAAATTCTGAAATGGGCAATACAGTAATTTTGAACATAACTAGATTTGAAATTGATACAACAGCATTCAGTCCTCTTTATCAGAGCTATATTGGGATGAAGTGGATGGTGTTTTCACTGGGGACACAGAAGGACATGTAGACATGTTGACCCTGACACACCACGAGAGGACACCCCTTCAGAGTAAGCACTACCACTGGAGTACACACGACACTGGGTGGGGAAAGCCTGTTTCAGATTTCAGTGTGTTAAAAAGATTAATCTGTTTCCAGTTTTCTCTTGGAAAAGCACAGAATCTTCTTGAGCACCTGAGGGTTCTTTCTTCCATCCCGTAAACATTTCTGTCAAGCTTGAACGCTCACATAAAATACTGCTGGATTAAAACTTGTACTTGCTAATTGGGCCATGGCATCTCTCAAACACTAAGGCAATTCATATTTTTTTCAAGTGTTTTACAGTGAGAGAATAATCTCTAAATGCACTCTTTGTACTCTTTTCCTTCCACACGCAACTTATTTCAAACATACAATATTCTTTGTATGGAGACAGAGCATCACACCAAACTCCAGACACAAATCCTTCAAATAGAAGAAACACTTTGCTTGTTGATTTTAAAGTGTTTTATCAGCATATACTCTGCATATACAAGTGAGTAGTACAAGTCAATTCTAATAATAAGTGTGTGTACTCCTCTTCAGATCTTTAAGTCTCAAGTTTTAAAGGAATAGTTCACTTCAAAGTTTAGTTTTTGGTCAAACATACAGTTGATCAGTCTCCTAGCTCTGTCTTGGCCATTTCTGTTAGTCCCTTTAAACTGTCATACATGGAACACATTTAATCAAACTGCAGCATCCAAACAATTTTCAGTCCCTCCAGGATGGTGTGATGTTGCATTAAAAAAACAAACAAAAAAAAGAACTTAATTGAATCGAATACAGCCAATCCCAGTGAATTCTGTGCAAACTTCCAATTGTGTCCAATAACTGCAACTTTACCGCGATTGTGACTATTTAAAATGAGTAAAATCTCATTTTATTATAGAGCTGCGCACGGGATATTGATTCAGGGAACCCCTCTCTTTCGCTGTTTATCATGAGACTACTTCTGCAGGACCAGAGCTCTGCACCTGAGACAACGGAGTCTCTCACACACACACACACACACACACACACACACAAACACACACGCAAAGTGACAGTGCTACCTGTTAGCAACTGTTAGTAATGGCTACCGTTACCCAATGGTTACTAACAGGTTTAAAAACAGAGTTGAGCCAAGTATCTACGTTAACGTCTTGGTGGTGGATGTAGACTGCTGCTGCAAAATATGATGAGTGCTGATGACATCATGTTGTCTTGTGTTAGCTTGTGCTAATAGGGCAGAGAAAACACAAGGAAAGCGGATCAAGGAAACAGCCCTTCAGCGCTGCATAGTGATGGCCAAATGAAGCCTCGAAGCATTGTCTTTCATTTCTGAGCCCACTAGATGGCGCTTCTTGTTCAACCAAAGGTTGAAAGCCCACTGAATTACTATTCTTTGAGCCTCTCTCTTTAGACCAAGAGCGGCATCTAGAGGGCTCAGAAAATAAAGACAATGCTTCACAAGGCTTCATTTGGCCAACACTAGCGCTGCGCCGATCTCATTAATTTTTTGTCACACAAGAGACACAGCATCAATTTTTTTGTATAACTACGGTGAGGAAAGGAGTCAAGCTTCCAAAGAAGCAGAGAAACAGAACTGCTATGGGAGCAGGTATGTACAAGCAGAGAGCAAGTGAGGGAAACACATTTAATTCTTGGAGTGGTGAGACTGGAAATAGGACAGTGGTGTGAAATGCTGCAGAGCGACACATCCAAGAGTGCTGACGTGTATCTAGCTGCCACTGGTGTGGGGTTGTACATTGAAAATAATAGGGGAGTATTTTTTGGGGTGTGGCACTAGTCTCTGGTGTGTTTTGGCCCTAATTCTGCAGGTCACGCTGAATATTCATAGTAAGCAATTTTCAAAAAATGTCTATAAACACTGCAACACGCAATAGGATTTTTTTTTTTTTTTTTTTGGAAAAGCTGCAGTGAAATCAGACATTGAGGGCTGCAACAATCCCAAAAACAGAATTGAAATTCTGGAGGGACTGAATTTTATTGTGTTTTGAATAACATCAGCACTTTATTTTCATACTAACCTTAGTAAAGTATCTATTGTCTTTATAAATGTTACCATTTCTCAAAGCCATATTGTATGAGTTATGCATTTTGCAAGAATATCACTATTAAGAAACTAAAATCTCACGATGGAGTTTGGTGTGGCGTTCTTGGTGTGGAGATAACAGCACATACTGGGGCTCTGATTTAATATGATATGGTGTGTGTGTGAAGCAGCTGTGCTGAAATGTTTTCCCGCACCGGCCCCGTATCAGTATATTGGACGTTTGCCATTTCAAAGGAAGGCTCAGGGGAGGGAAGGTTACACTTTAACAGCGATTCTTATTTTAAATAAGGTGCATCGTTTTTCATCTTTCACAAAATAGCTTACTACCTCAGACACAAACGGGGAGACTGTTGTTCAGTCAAATAAGGGATGACACAAAAGAAAAACAATTTAAATGATAATAGAAAAGCAAGTGAGGAGAAATTAAAAAGCATGATTAATTTAACAATAAAAGCATGTTTCATTTCAAAACATCTGTCATTCTTTTTTGTACATTACCATAAAAAATGAGTATAAATACATATTGTTTTTATCTTTCAACCCTTTCTTTTTCAAACACAGTTCCCAGTACTGAGTCACTGTGTTCGCAGCTTCGTACACACACACAGGCGATAGATTTAAATAGAGCTTTACTAGATTAGAGCCCGAGGCTGGGAGCTATTCTACAAGCAGGATCCAGATTACAGATGATTTCAAACATCATTCATTGCCATATTTAATTTTTTAAAACATGAAGAATTATAGTGATTTCTGATTAACTACGTTGTTTAATCCTGCTTTGAAGAATATTTCCACAGTTCTCCAAAACCATCACTACTGCCTCATTTACACTGAATGGTTCAACTCAACTCTACTCAGCTCACTTTTAATATCAGTACCTTTCTCCTTTTGTTTTCCACTGCAGATAGTAGGCGGGATTCTCAGTTGATCACACACCTCATCAAACTGCTGTGACGACATTGTAGTGCCATCCTTTCGTCAGCAACCGAACAGCAGAACGTTCTTAAACTGACCACAGTGTGGTTTAGTGGGCTGCCATTTTTAAAAATCTGGGTCAAGGGAATAAAAAAAAAAAAAAAAGTGGTTGCTTTTGAAGCTAGCTTGACTATCTTGCAGCTCTAGTTTAAACTAGAGCTGCACGATTATGGCCAAAATGATAATCCTGATTTTCATCAATATTGAGATTGTTATTTCTAATGAACATTAATTATTCATTAATCATTTTTAGGGATGCACAATACTGGACTTTTTGCTGATATTCAATGTGCAGATAACCAATACCAATATCATGGTATCATATCCACTATTTTTTCCCAACTTCAATTTTAGTGATCATTAAGTCTCTTCTGTAGCGTAATTAACGCCACATTATGCATGCATACTCTCATCATGATGACCCACCAGCAGATGGAGTCATAAAATACAATGCTTTTCAATGTATGTAATATTCATCTATTGTGCTAAATAAGAAAAAGCATGTTGGCTAATTCTGATAGTTCATTTTATAGCTGATATTGGCCTATAACGAAGACGTGCCAATATTATCGTGCAGCCCTAAATGTTTTTGGGGACAAAATATTGTTATTACGCTTTCACATTTAAATCAACAAAGCACTGCTTTTACTTCCATGTTGTGCTACATTCCTGCTATTATTGCATCAAAGTAAGACTTAAAATAAGGTTCTTCATCTGAATTCAGTGTACCTGCTTTCAATACATATCTGCTGCTGTTTTGTTCTGTTTGTTTTTTTTATACAGTGGTCATGATACCATGACGTGCTGCAGTGTCGCTGTCATGGATGTCTAAGTTGACACTGGCCAAGGAGGACAGGGATAATGGCAACATTAGTGATGTTATTCTTCCCAGCCTTGATGCATTCATCTTAATGCAGATTGTGGTGTTTTTCAAGCAGTTTAACAAGTTGTTGCTTTGAGGCGCAGACACAAGTCTCATGCACTGTTTGCATGTGATTTGTTTTCTCCTTAATCCAATATACTTCCAAAGAACGGATGATGACGCATGATTTTTGTTTTGCCCATCTGCGGTCGCAACATTCAGGAATGTTTTTCACAAGCTGCTGTTGCAGGTTGCACAAGTAGCAGCATGACAGCTCTTGAGAAGTGGAGGCTGGCTGTTAGTTTAGGAAGCACTTAATTTAAATATGCAGTGGAGTTTTCTATGAGCAAAGCATTTTAAACGTCAATATCACAGTGGATCATGTTCATTTAATTGTGGGAAGCCAAAATTGTGTTTAATATTCAAATAGATATCCAGCCCTAGTTTTAACTCTACCTTTTATTATCGGCTTAGCTCGCTTGAAACCTTGACCGAGGTGTTTTTAAAAATGTATCAGGTACTATCCACAACACAAAAGAAAAGTTCTGACTGAGTCAAGCCATACTGTACAGTGGAAATGAGGCCTGAGGCAAGAGTTCCTTGAGAGCAAGAGTTTGACATTTCAAGAAATATATTTGCTTTCTCTCTTGCCAACAGTTAGATGGGATCGATACCACTCTCATGTCTCTATGCTAAGTATGATGCTAAAAGAAGGAGACAGTTAGCATAGCTTAGCATAGAGGCTGGAAGAGAAAACAGCAAGCCTGACTCTGTCCAAAAGTGAAAATATATTTCTATAAGCCCCTTAAAAGCTCACTAATTAACACATTATATCTCATATATAAAAGAAGGGCACAGGAAGTCACTGAGCCTGGCCAAAAAAAATCAGCACATAACCATCTGTAAAATAACAACTTGTCTTTTTCGAACTTAGTTTTTAGTATGGCTTTAACAAGACAAAATATAAAGGATTAATTACTGAGCTTTAGAGGTGCTAGTGGGCAGACTTCTAATCTTTGGACAGAGCTGGGCTCGCTGTATCTAGCCTTAATGCTAAGCTAAGCTAAGCTAAGCTAACCATCTCCTGGCTCTAGCCTCATGTTAAGCGTACAGTCATCAAACCTTTCATGTAACTTCCTCAGATATCAGTTATAGACTGAAAAGGCATTAATACTCGGCAATTAGTAAGGCCCAAGGAACCTTTAAGGAACACAGCAAGACTTTGTCTCTGCTTCTGACATTACCACTATCTCCGCTCAAAGATGGTTTTGGAGAAGTTCCACCGCAGGCAAAAAAGTGGAAAATTATTTCCAATATCACCACTTAAAATGTCTTTGATTCCCTTCAAAGTGGTGCTTTAATCTTTGAGACTACATAGATGAAATTAAAACAGAGATCACCTCAGTTAGAAGTTCTGATATTCTAAACCATTTCCAGTGTGGATTTCGTCTAATTTGATACCACTGATATTTAAAAAATCTTCTGAAAGCACATTCTTTAGGCTATTATAAAGAGGCAGCGTCACAGAACAAGTAGTAAATAGCTTAGGGGTATTTTATCATTATATGTGTGGCTGCTAATACCTATCATTACCGACACAGGCCTGCTGTAGTGTCCAGCCCGCACGCGATGGCACGCTGGCTCAAGAGGCTTCACTGAGCGGGACAAACAACCTACGGGCGCCAAAGGAGTTAGTAGAAATCGCTTTGGATGAACGTCAGTTTCAGATCAGTCTTAGCTTTGCCTCTTAGCTTTTTGCTCCGAGCATCTTTTCCTTTGGCATGGATGACATTTAAAACAAAGCACAATTCCCCTTATTAGATAGCTTAAGTTTGCTTGATTATCACATTGACCCTAAATTGATTCTCATAGCCTCAAGTACTTAACGATAGTGTCACTGGGAAGCTAAATACCAAGGCAAAAATGATTGTATATCCAGTCGCCACGTGGGCTAAAACCAGAGGGAAATGCAGGTGAGAGAACTAAAACCACTGCTGCTGCTGGACATAAACCTTCACATTAAGTTTGGCTTTTTTTATGCATACTAAAAAATTCCTGGTCGTTCCCTGTTGTCAGGAAAAAAAACCTGCCATATACTGCAAAAAGTAAAAGTGGAGTTGTCTGTATGAATTTAAGGCTACGTCTTTTTTGAGGTTTTCATCCAACAGCAGGTCTACTGTAAAAAAGCAAAAAGCCACTCCACTGAGGAATAAGAACTATAGAAGATATGAGACAGTGACTGGACAGTTCTGTCTGCTGATATTATCCTTACTGACTGCCTCGGTGCCAGACAGGGCGAGAAGGAAACTCTCACCATCCATCTTTCCCCGCACAAAGGCTGGAGGCTGCTCTTCAGGTGAATTGCACAATGAAGAGGGTGCATTTTGAGGGTTATGTAGGTAGGTAGAGTGTGACTGAGAACCATAAGAACCATATATATATTATATATACAGTACACGTTATTTTTCTGAGGTTGACGCTGAGGTGAGATAGACTGAGGATCGGCTCAGACAACCAGGCTGGAGAGGGAAGGAGAGGGGAAGTAAGGAAGAGGAGAGGGAAGAGAAGAGGTATCCTGTGAGGAGAGAGTGTATTCAGGGAGGAGAGGGGAGTTCCCGGGAGACACAAATCCCAGACGAGGGCCACCGTTTTGGGGGTTAAAGGCCTTGATTGCCCCCTTTTCTTCTTTCTGTGGAACATTTTCATAGGATGTATAGTGACCCATTTCCGCCAGCTGTGTCAATATATTGGGTAGGGTGAGATGGGGGTGGTGGGTAATTACTGTTTACATGGACTCTGTGGGGGGAGGGGAGTGGAGGAGGGAAGCCGAGAGAGGAGGAACAGCTGGCAGGGGGCTGGCTGACGGACAGATTCAGAAGGTTTACTAAGTAGCATTATTTTGGTCTCTTTTTTTTTTTAACTCCTCGTTTCTCTCCCCTCTCGACTCTGTCGTTTCTCTCTTCCGCTTCCTCCATCCCATTTACTGTGCAGTTCATTCGTCCTCCAGGGACTCCGTCTTGATGTCGTTGGGGACCCCTCCAGTTCTGGACAGGGCCAGGATGGTGTGGTTGACGGCAGCCATCTCCACAGCCAAAGAGATGGGGTCCTGGTGCTCGCTGTGTGCTGCACTGTCATCCTGAGACAGGGAGGAAGAGTTAGAAGACCAAGAGATCAAACATCTACTTATGTGGTTGACTCATTTTCCACCTCTCTGGTTTTGCCCTCATGCTGACTAACTCACCAACTGTCCACTAAAACCCTCCCTTAGATGACAATTGTCCAATTATAGCTCAGCAACCATAACTGGGCCTGGCGCGCCTATCAAGCTTTGGATTTCTGCTTGTTAAAGTGGTGTGTATGAGGTCAGAGTAAGTAGGCCTGTCACGATAATTACACTTACCACACCATGTATGGACATGACCTTGATCATTTTTCTTACCTCAATATGGCCCCTTGTGTTTACTTGCGAGTCTGTTTATATATGAATGTCAGCAACATTTTAGCCAACATGATGCCAGAGTCAACCAACCATTGTAAAGCTTACACCACCCTGCCTGTGTGAGCAGCACATGACGGCTACCTTGCTGAGCTGCTGTGGCTTGCACGCATTCGGTGTTCACACAGACAGCGTTACTGCTACAGAGCTGCCACCTGCTATAACTAGTGTATTTCCACAATTAAAAGTCAATGCTCCACACATTTGTGGAGCTGTGCAGCCAGCAACAGCATGGTCCTGCAAATGTTTCACAATAAAAAGCCTGGTGTTAACAAATGAAGGGGTTCTGTCTACGAAAATGTTGTCACAGGGCTTTTTTTTTCAAACGAAGATGGAAGTGTTGAGTTGAAAAGAAATATTTATATTTTTCATGTCTGTGATAGACATTAAACTGTAGTGAAACATTGTATGATGTTAATGTGATTATAAAAAGACACACAAAAAAACGGGCAAGACTCCTGTTCTTTAGATGTTCCCTATCTGTAGCCATGCCACACCTGAGCAGTGCTGCTCACACAGGCAATGTGGCCCTAGTGTAAAACTTAGGCACAGCAATTCTATCTTTTTTTCCTCTCCACCCCACCTACTTACAAAAGTCTGAAGGAAAATAAAACTACACTTAAAAGATGACACAGTGTAGCTTACTGGCAGCCTACAGCTGCACTTTTTAGAGTGGAAAAGGCACAGTTAGCTAGTCATTAGCTTTCCCACCCCCTGGAAAATGAGCCAAAACATTAGTCCTTTGTAATTTTACCCTCCCAACAACTTCAATCTCCACTCCATAAATTCAACAGGCCGTCCATCCAGGGGAGCTGACTACAACACAACAGTGGAATAATGGAGGTAACAGGTTCCCGGAGCTTCGCTAAACTTGTTAGTCTCAGGAGGCATCATGTGGCTTTGTTTTTGTTGCCGAAACTTTGTTTTAGGTCTCAAACTGATTCATTTTGGGCTTCTCCTATAAAGGTTGTATATATTATTTTTTTTCTGAATGTCTGGATATTCTTTAGAACTAAAAGTTAAATGCTCTTTGAAAAGGTGTACTTGCATTCTTATGCTATTGTCATTTTATTAGTGCTATAAAATGGTCTCAAAAGAACAATACTGTCATATCGCTATTATTTCTGAGACACAATATTGTTCAACAAAAGTAGCTATTGTGACAGGCGGAGTAGTGAGTAGTGGTAGTACCTTTCTTCAGTGTTTCCAAAACCGAAAACAAAAGAGCAAAAGTGCAAGGAGTAATTTAAACAGCTAATGTAAAACAGAATCCTTAGCATACATGGCTAACTAGCTTTCTACCTACAGTAGTAACCCAGTGTAACTTCCAGGCAGGTCAGCGAGCACTTCATGCTACATTATATTGTTGGTAGACTGGCGACATTGATAATCCCCATTAACAAATAACACTGTGGTATTTCCCCACTGTGTGGGATCTGGTCCTTGATGCCATCAGAATATTGGATTATGTTAGCCGCTCTGTCCTCTTCTTCGTTAGATGTGTGGAAGTTTACACTACATGAATCTCAGTTAAACTGTTCACCCAAAATAATATTATGTCTGCCAAACTCAACGGTATATACAGTGGCATGTAAAAGTTTGGCCACCCCTGGTCAAAACTGTATTTATTGTGAATGGCTAAGCAAGTAGAAGCTGAACTGATCTCCAGAAGGCAAAAGGTAAAGATGACACATTTCCTTAATATTTTAAGCAAGACTACTTTATGATTTTAATCTTTTAAAGTTTCAAAATAACAAAAAAGGAAAAGGGCCTGAAGCAAAAGTTTGGGCACCCTGCATGGTCAGTACTTAGTAGCACATCTCTTGGCAAGTATCACAGCTTCAAACACTTTTTGTAACCAGCTAAGACTCTTTCAATTCTTGTTTGGAGGAATTTCACCCATTTTTCCTGCAAAAGGTGAGATTCTTGGGCATGCACTACTCTTTTGAGGTCCGAGAATGTTAAGACCAGGGAAAAGTGAGGGCCATGGCAATACCTTTAGCTTGTTCCTCTTGAGGTGCTGTGGTTTTACAGATGATGTGATGTTTGTTTCCAGAATTTGCTGGAATTTAATTGAATCCATTCTTCCCTGTACCTGTGAAATGTTCCCCATGCTACCGGCTGCAACACAAGCCTAAAGCATGATCAAACAACCTCTGTGTATAACAGTTGGACAAATGTTAATTTCATCAGTCCACAGGACATGTTTAAAAGAAAATAAATCAGCCATGATTAGTTGTTCTTTGCAAACTTCTGATAATGAATTTTGTGGTGAGAACTAGGGGTGTGCCATATCATCTCATTCACGATAATACCAATATATTTCTAATATCGTGAAAAATTCATATTTTGATATTCTAAATATTTGGACTTGGTGACATATGACATCATACTGTTACCCATGGCAACAACAAACATGGCTGAAAGCGAAATAATTAGCGACTTGCGGTAGTTTTAAAAAGAGGAACAGCTTTAGTAGTGTGGAATAAACTGTGCTGTCATTAGGCCTGGGCATCCTGAATGTTTTATCAACGGCCCTGGACTTCTCAGACTCTTTTAGGAAACTCCTCTCTTACTGTGCGCACACGGGAGTTGGTGTCGTCAAGTGATTGAACCTTTAGCAATATAAACCTACGTGATGCTCGCGGCTTGACAAAAACTACATACACGTGAATGTGCAGTAGTTATGGTAACATAACAGCCTGTTGCAGGTTACAGCATGATGATTAGAGGAGAAATGGCAGAGCATAAAGGTCCAGGTGGAAAAAGAAGAACTCAATCGTTAAGGATTTTGCAAAGAGAGAAGGAAATCACCTGTTGATTTATATATACAGATCCCAGGGTACATTTATTTGTATTTGGGAGCTGTTCAAATGTGTCATTAGTGGTAGACTTTATTTTGTTGAACTATTAATATTGTATACAGAATCTGAGTCTCCTACAATAACCCAACAAGCAGCTCTCTCAGAAAGTTTTCTTGGTCTTCCAGACCTCAACTTGACCTCCACAGTTCCTGTTAACTGCCATTTCTTAATTACATTACAAACTGAGTAAACAGCTATCTGAAAACACTTTGCTAGCTTCCTATAGCCTTCTCCTGCTTTGTGGGCATCAGTTATTTTAGTTTTCAGAGTGCTAGGCAGCTGTTTAGAGGGGGGCCTGTGGCTGATGATTGTTGGTACAAAGTTTAAGGAGTCAGAGTATTTATAAAGTTTTGAAATTTGCATCACCTGGACTTTCCTAAGGATGATTGTGAACAAGCCATAGCCTTAACAAGCTAATTATGGTCTGAGACACTGGTAAAAGTTGACTGAGGGCTCAAATGTCTTGGGGAGCCCAGACTTTTATGTGGTGCTCCTTTAATTTTTCTCTCTAAAACTGCTAGCTAAGCAGCCAAATAGGATCATGTTACAGTGGGGTTAGGATGGTGAGACTTCTTGCCTTGGACATGCAGCTTTATTCTCTTTCTTTTAGCAAGATGTAGCCACCAAGTGCATATTTAAGCCCCTTTTAGAAACATTATACAGCTGAAGACAGCCTCTTTAGCTGATAAAATCTGCCAGCCACAGTTGTCATCAACGAGCAAAACCAACAGTTGCTGGCTACTAATGTGGCTACCATGATTTAAAATCAAGGACATGTTTCAAAAGTGACCAACAATTTTAAGTGGTCGTTCTGCTACCATGATTACTGTCAATTGCATATGTACTGAGAAGGGAGAGAAGGGTAAGCTTGACAACTGCAGCAACAGTAACAAAGGTGGGGGAGGCTAAGCGAATGGTCAGTTGTGATTTGGTTAGTGACTTTACTGTAGCATTTCAGTTTGTAAAATTTAACAGGCCAACAGAGAAAAGGAATCTTCAGTGTGCAGTAAGACCTGCTCATAAAATACAGTTTTAAAATTATTCCTCATAACCAGGAAAGTATATTGTCACATTATATGTTATTCCAACCAGCATACATTTTCTGCCAACAGGAGGGAAAAACTATAATTCTGCAAAATGGCAAACCAACCTTACAATATCTGCTGCCTTGTGTTTTTATGACTGAGTTTGAATTTGTGAAAGCAAATTGTTTTGGATGTTAAAAACTGAGGTCACAGGAGCCAGAAAATAGGCAAGCAATGGCACCAAATCAACTTTTAAGCGACATGCCGCCTGATTACTGTATTCTGACAGGTATATAAAGACATGCAATCAGAGTATAATTGTGTTGAGGGGACCGCTCTTAACCTCTGTGTGATTTGATTGTGAGTTTTCCTTGCCCTCTTTTTGGACTGCACTGGAGAGCTGTGCTCCCTGCAACTACAGCCACAAAGAAATGCAGCAACATAACTGCTAAACTGAGGATCAAAATGGACTGGCATGAAGGCAAAAACTGAGGAAGTATGAGCCAGGTTAAAGAGAACCAGATCCTATTTCCCTGAGAATTAATATGCATTGTTCTGGTTAACATAATGGCATGTTTCAATGTGGATGTACCTGTGTTGGTGAGGTGGGCTCCAGTCGGTAAAGGCCAAAAGGTCGGCTTAGAGGTCTCTTGTCAAAATAGGGTAGGTCACATGCCTGGAGGTAATAAAAATGGCCATTTAACAATGTACGATTAAAAAACTCAAGTGTAATTAGAGAAACACTTCACAATATTCAGAATAGCTTGTCCTCTTTCATACTTCACTAGTTCAACACTGCTTGACAGATTAAATACACCCTGTGTTCATTACTCTGGAATGGTCAACTGGCTCTTTTCACTTTCAGCAGCCTTGACTTGACAGGAAGCGTTTACATGTTGTGCAATCAAGAGTAAAGCTAGAAGGCTTAAACTGAAACACAATCTTGAATTGTAGGTTTCTACAATATTACAGAGCCTTGATACTTCCTTTGCTCCAGCTCAGTTTCCATTGGTTACAGGAAAAAGAAGAGGAGAGCGAGCTTTTGTTAATTAACATGCCTCGGGCAACAGTTCTTAGCAACATTACTTCACAAAAATAAAAAACTTTATGTGCCTTCTATATTTGGGGAAGGACATATTAAAAGATCATCTAAAGGAAAACAGCAGCTCAAACGTTCTTGTAATTTGTCACAGTGGCAGGGTAATGTGGCATTAAGTCTACATGGTTTAACTCCAAGCAAACCCAACAAGCTGCTAACTTCTATTACTTGCATAACTTTAACAAAAGAGAGGGAAACTAATTAGTTAAGTCAACTGATGCATTTGAAAGACATGTAAAATACATGATCACACCGATTAATGACTAGAAATACAGAGTGCTGTCCAAGAACAGAGTGAGCCTTGGATGTGGACACATGGATGTGAATGGTTGGCAAGAGGTTGATCCAAAAAAAACAAAGGAAAAAATATAAATTGCATCTGCATCTGATAAAAATATCAGACACAGTACAGCACAAAATGAAGATATGAAGCTTTAACACACAGAAAAGTGAACTGTTTCTCTTCCATCAGACAAGTCGTTTACAGTACTGTCTGGAACATAAATCTGGATTTATGTGTCTCTTGAAACTTAATCACTCTCTACCTGCTCTGAGAAGTCGTTCCCATCGATGTCGTCACTGTTGGAGTGTCCCCCTGGACTCTGGACATCTATCCCATGACTCTCCAGGATTGTGGCTTCTTGGAGGAAGAGGATGGATTGTTAGATTTATGATAGATGACTGATAATATCCCTCATAACGTACTGAAGAGCAGTGATTCCCAAACAGGCAACATGGAAAAATTGTGTCGCTGAATTCATCTGAAAAATTACGATCCAGTTTAAAAATATACACTCAGTGACCACTTTATTAGGTACACCCGTAAAATCTATTACAATTCAATACAACAGCTCTGCCATATATTCATTCTTCACTCGTCTAGATAAATACTGGATTATCACTTCTATGACTGTCTATGTGTGAGGCATCATAGAAGTAAACTTTATGGCAGAACAGTTGTATTGGATTGCACAAGACTGTACAGGTGTAGCTAATAAAGTGGCCACTGAGATTAATGGAGTGCATGTTAAACTAGTTAATCAAAAATATAATTGCAAACAGTTAAAAAGGATAAATGATAATGGATAAACACTTGTAATAATAAGTTAAAGTAATGCATAAATGGTTGAAATGGCTTAAAGTAATGAATACCTGGTTGAAATAGTTAGCTTCAAGCAGTACTGGAAATTACATTTTTTTTATTCCACCTTCCACTGTGGCTGGTGGATTCTATTATCTACCAGCCACTCAATAGATTACTGTTGTTTTGTTGGCTGGTGAGGGAGGCAAATCTATCAGCCACTTAACTATTTTAACAGCATTTTGCGGGCAGTTGGTGCTAATTTCAAACCCTGGCTTAAAGTAATGGGTAAATGTTTGACATTTATTTATTTATTTATTTTATTTCATTACTTTATTTGTCAGGGACAGTGCATATTAATAAACATTTCTGTAAATACGCCAGAGTTAGCCCTAAGGCTAGTTTTCATCTGTTGTCCCTGGCTAGATGTGAATTGGCAGCCTAAAATTTAAAAACAGCAAATTTAAGACATTGACGTGTATGTTACAATAAAACACAGAGAGACACAACAAGATAACCTAACTGCATAAACAGAGACAGACAAAAAGAAAGACAAGTGAGGAAGCATGACAACAGCAACGCCAAGGCAAGTCAAGCAACAAGACAATTTAACAGCAAACACAAACACAGACCAGAAGCAACAAGCAAAGAAAAACAAAAACAAAAAACAAATACAAGCAACAGGACTGCAGGTTTAGCAACAGGGCAATTTGATGTAATGATGAGTATATCCAGACAAGTGTTGACAAATTTGGAAATTTATGAACCATTTTTTTTAACTGTGTGGAAAAGGACCTGTATGTAGTCAGGTCCCTGATGTGAGCTGGTACAGCATTCCATTCATGTGCCACATTGATTGAAAAGGCAGATTGACTGAAAGCTGATTTTCTCAGTGGGGTGATGCAGTTTCCTCTTGTGACTCCTCTTGTGATCTGATTTGAGTTTACTCATTGCTGAATAAAGCAACTGAGTGGAGGAGGAGCTAGACCATGAATTATTTTATAGATGAGGCATACGTTTGCATATTTTATAAAGTTTTCCCAGCTCAAAAGATTATATTTTTCCCATATGTTGCAGTGATGGAAGCTGTTAGGTTTCTTGTCGAGGGTTTTCATGGTTTGATTCTAGTGGCCTAGTGACATAGTGGTAAGTAATGGATAAACAGTTGGAATTGATAGCTAAAAGTAATGGATAAACAGTTGAAATACTTAATTTAATGTAATGGATAAATGGTTGACATATTTAGTTTAAAAGATAATTGGATTGGAATACTCTAGGGCTGTAGTCTCCTGGTTGACTAGTCGATTATTTGGTCGCTATGCTTTTGTCCGACCAAATTCTCATTGGTCGAATAATCGCTGTGTTACTTTCATAAGGAGAAAAGTGCTACACCAACAGCTTTCCAAGATTAATCCATTATTTCCTGTGATGGTGGGACAGGCAAAGTTACCTCTGAAAATGACAGAAAGTTGAACTCGCCCACCCTCACGCTCAGCATCACAGTGAGGCAGACCTCCTGTCTGTCTCTGTAAGCTGAAACCATTTCCCTCAGTGGAAACAAAGCTTCCACTTCCACAGCAGTAAAGCCTCCATTAAAACAGCATTTTAAGTCTTGTGTGTGATTTATCCTTAAGGGATTTGTACTTCGGGATTTACCCTGGCTTCACATGAGCAGAGGAAATCTCCGCTTGTCACTAGGCTAATTTATACAATGTAAAATGCCATAGGCTGGCGCTAATAACGTTAGAATGTTGTATTTGCTTGGAAAACATGTTTAGTACAAGACAGTTGTTTTGTCGGTGAATGTTGTGAGCTGTAATGAAGCCAAATTATGTACCGTTACCTTTGTTACATGTTGCTGTTGTCCCTGGGTTTATATGAGAAGAGGAAAAGATCGCTAGATGCTAGGCTACTTTATACAATGTAAAATGCCATAGACTTGTGCTAATAACGTTAGCATGTTGTATTGGTGGGGAAAATGTGTCCAGAAAAAGACAAGTGTTTGTCTGTCAGTTCTGTGATTTATAGTGAAGCCAGTTTGCATACTTCTGTTTGGAATTGTCTCTTTTAATCCATATTTAATGTGTTTGTTGAATAAACTATATAAATAAAGTTTGAACTTTACAGCACTTAACACAGTCCTCCACCGCTAACTAGTGTTTTGGAGGTGTAACTGCAGAGTGACACAGACACACCACCGCAGATGTAAAAATAACGTGCACTTTTTTTCCCACTACTAATCGATTAGTTGAAGATTATGTGCGACTTTAGTCGACCAAGATTTTCTTTGGTTTACTACAGCCCTAGAATACTCGGCTTAAATAATGGATAAATGGTTGAAATTGACAGCTGAAAGTAATGTATAAAACAGTTGGAATAGTCTGCTTAAGTAACGGATAAATGGTTGACATAGTTATCTTAATGGATAAACAGTTGGAAAAGTGGGCTTAAGTAATGAACAAATGGTTGAAATGGCTAAAAGTAATAAATAAATGTGAAATCGATTGTTGAAAGTAATAAATAAAAGTTGGAATACTTAGTTTAAGTAATGGATAACTGGTTGAAATTAATAACTGAAAGTACTGGATAAACAACTGGAATACCTAATTTGAAGTAATGGATAAGTAGGAAATGGAAAAATAATACTTTAAGTAATGAAAAATGGTTAACATAGTTAGTTTAATGGATAAACAGTTGGACTACTTTAAGTAATGAATAAATGGTTGACAGTTTATTGCGTTACAGCTGTGATACATAGAGTAACAGATAAATGGTTGAAATTGATAGTTTAATGGAAAAACAGTTAGAATAGTGAGCTTTTAGTAATGGCTAAGTGGTTGGCATTAGCTTGATGGATAAAAAGTTTGAAATTGGTTGCTGAAAGTAATAGATACTTAGTTGGAAGAGTTAGCTTGAATTAATGGGTAAATTGTTGACATATGGATAAATAGCCTAAATAGTCAGCTAAAAGTAATAGATTAATTGTTAGACTAGTTAAATGTAATGAATACATTATTTAAATTGATACCTGAAAGTAATGGATGAACAGTTTACAGTAGTGACCTAAATGCAAATAGTGAAAAAGCTATATATAGCTATCATGGATGAATAGTTGAAACATCCAAATTCTGCTACTCTAAGTGACAGGAGTAAAAATGCTAACTTGACTAAACAACATGAACAGTTAAACTATATGAAAAACATGTATGAATGCCCACTTGTATATAGTTATCACAGATGCATAACATAGAGTTAAATACCAAGTCAAATAAACACATTTGCAAAATGACAGCTCATCTGACCAGGCTTTGAGGGTACACCAGACAAAAAAGGTTGGGAACCACTGCTCTAATTACCACACATTAGCTCAGACTGTGGCCAGACGATACTGAATCTCTCCAACTGCTTCAGTGGTCTTCTCTACTAAGTCCTTTGGCTAGCAAGTAATGGAGGTTATATTTTACAAATCTAATTGGCATCTAGATTAATGCAGGCAGCAAGAGGATTTTTTTAAAATTCCAAAGCAGGTATGGGAATATTTTGCCAGAGGTCATTACAGATATCAGGTGACTGATTAACAATCATCAACCTGCCTAATTATAGTGATGGAATGAATACATTTATGATGAGCCATTCAATGCATAAGATAATTTGTATAATTGCTGTTATTAAATATCAAATAGTCATGTTAACACAAAGGAATGTAATCAAATGTGCAGTGCTCCGCAACCAAAAGTCTCAATAGAGATTTGTGGTCTCTCCCTGAAGCCACATTACCAATGTTAGCCCGTCTCTTGATCTCTTTGCGACGGTTGGCGAACCAGTTGTAAACTTTCAGGGAGGTAACCCTCTCCAGATCAGACAGCTTCTTCCCTGAAACAAATCACATGACAATCTGATCACTCAGTGCACAATTCAAAACGATAATGTCTTGCTAAAATTATTTTTTATCCAGTCAGTTCTAATCTTTTTTTATTTCATTTTGGGCCCTGTTTTTTCATCCATCTGCTCCCTCAAGCTGTGAATTCCACTTTTATTTGTGCCTTCATGATCTGGATTGTTTCATAACTGATGATGGTAAAATATCTGCTGAAAGGAAATAATTTTATTTGATTGCCTAAGGGGCTGATCACACAACACATGCAACACAGATGTTTGGTCTGTAAAGTCCACATCATATCCAGAAAAATATCCATGCATCAGCAAATATTCACAGTTTAGAAGCTGGAATGAGGAAATTTTAAGGCTTAACTGTTGCAGATACATTTTCTGCTGAACTTATAAACTAATCAAGTTATTGTTTCAGCTCTTTAGCACTTACGTATGTATGACATACCAAATGTAAAAAGATGTCATGTACAGATTAATGGGTGATTATGGTTGTGTTCAGAGGGGCAATTTCCATGGTAATATTCAAAATATTCACATAACTTAGAGGAATATTCATCACCAGCAAATAAAGCTATTATCCACTACACATAACAAAACACTGAATTATTCTAACAAGGCTGCACACACATTCCTGGTTTCTGTGGTTTACCTGGCTTTTGAATAACAGCATTGCAGGCGTTTGCTATCTCCTCCCGTTTGGCCTCATCTGGGTACTGGTTGTCGTTGAAGTAGCTATATATAGCAGAAGAGTCACACTGATTAAATTAATTTCATTACACAAGGACGATGTCAACAAACTTCCTGCTGTTTGCTATGTGTGCGGTACTACCAAGCCAATATTGAGACTGTATGTCAAGAGTCACAGGCTCATTTTCCAGCCATTTTCTTGCACAGGTTGCAATGTTTCCTCTACTCCATGTGGAAATAAGGCAGATTGATGAAACAAACTCCCATTTATCATCTTTAATCTCCTGCTCTTCTTCCTCTGTTCCCCCACTCACCTCTCCATCACAGCCAGGCACTCTTTTCTCCAAGTGAAGCGACTTCCTCGACGCAGCCGGAAGGTTCCAGGGGCAGTGGTGATGGGGGGCGGGGTTTGCCTCCACTCCATTTCCTCCAGAGGTAACGGAGCTGGCCGCATGTTTAGAGTGGCACCTGGGGTGGGAGGCAGCAGAAACACTGGTAGGTTACAACTGAAGATGGTACATCTGTCAGGGGAAGTCTGGTCACAATGAGCCTTGGGAACATATTGTTTGCAGGTGTCTGTGGGTTGGAAGCACTAACTGTGCTGGTTAGAGTCTTAAAAAAAAGAGAGCAATAATGTGTGTAATGGTTGTCTTGACAGACGAACTGAGCACAGCGCACAATGGCCAAAAAGCTGATCGCCTCATGAAAATGTATGTGAGAATGTGCATCACCTTTAGCAAATCTCACAATATATTGTGGTTATAAACTGGACTGAATAGTGCTGACAAGGACTGTGCTTCCTCATCTCAAATCATGACCACAGCAGAAAAGATTATAACTCAAAAGGTTTGAACTAAAACTAAAAAATAGCCACAATCAAGCTAACAGCTTAGATGTATTATGGGGGTCACAAGCTCACCCTCAGTATCATAACCTCACCTGACAGACAATGGGAACAAGACCTAACTGGGTCACCCAGCAACAGCCCAGGTTATCAGAACAGCATGAATGGGGCATCAGTTTTCTCTGCAGCAGTGATGGAGGCGTGTGTGTGGGGCTGGGCTGAGCTGGGCCGTGCTCAGTCTGGCCATAAATAGCATAGAGCAGTTTCCACTGCTGTCGGTGTTGGCAGGGCTCCACCGAGGAACATGCCGCAGAGGACGAGGCGTGGGATGTCTGCTGCCTGGCTATAGGTTGATACAGCGCACGTAAACGTACATGCGCACACGCACATGCACAGTTGGGATCCGAAGCAAGAGGCCTGTTGTTTTTGCTGTTAACCATTTGCAGTGAAATGTAAATTTAAGGTTGTGCAAGACAACAGACTCATCTCTTAACTGTGTCCTTCTTCAGAGAAGCAAAACTAACCTGTACATGTCAACCCTGATTTTTCACAACTTTTTTATAAAGCAGGACTAAGGTGCAATAAGATTTTAAAGCACTGGACTCAAGACTTGAGAACTGGCCGTAAGTTGGACTTAAAGAAGAATTTCACTGCTGGAAAGGTTGTTTCACAAAACGAGTCGTCTATACAGTGGAAAGACGCAAATACTTTTTAAATTGGTGCTATATGACCAGAGAAAAGGGCTGTGACATGTGCTTTTGAGGTAGAAAACCTACAACTATCAGAATGCACTCCAGCGCACCTGATGAATAAACGCTCACGACTGGTGAGTGACATAATGTGAGCATGGCCATTTCAACACAGCAAACAATATGGTGGCAGGCTGGTAACAAACAATCTCAAATTACCATTAAAAAGTGAACTACAATGGGTTCTGAAATTGTTTTAGGCAAGAAATCAACATATATATTTGATCAGCACTGCCTCGTTTTACTGTTTGATCTGAATTTGGTCTGCATTTAAGAGCAAAAGAAAGAGAGGGAGAAAGAGGAGGGAGGGTCTCTCTGTCTCAATCCATGGTGGCGGGCACACAAAAATGAGAAAGTACAATCAAGCAAGTTAGAGCCAGTGAAAATCTGTTGGATGATGTGTTAAGATGAGAGATGAGCATCTGCATGCTGATAAGATGAAGAAAGTTTACCATCTACCTACAGTGTTATGCTACAAATCTGGTTGAAAAATCAGTAAATTATCCCTTTAGGTCACAAAAATGAGGAACTGTGACTTGACAGCTCTGAGACTTGCCAAACCTGGTAAAATCCTGAAACAATAAAAAATAAAACAGGGACAGCAAGGCCATTCACATTTGGTAATTAGTGCCTAGAGCCGAACTAACACGTATACAGTACAAAGTATTTCCGTACATATGTTAAATAATGTTATTTGACATTCTTAAAAGAAATAGTTTATGGACTAAATTAATCTATAATCCCCTGAGAATTAGACAGGAAGCTGCAACAAACAGCTAGAACAAACCACAAAGCATGCAGGCTATATGTCAACGTTTATAAAGAGGTAAGCTAGCGTAACTTTATCAAGTATCTGTGGTAATACCTGACGAGCAGGAAGGACACAGAGTGAGCGGTTGTGTTCAAACAGACAGTTTGGGGGGTGGGGGTCACATTGAATCTGTGTCTGAACAAGTAAACAGCCTTTTCCACTAACCTTGCAATGGATGAGAACAACACCTGTAACCATGGTAACTACTCACAACAAAAATGGTCACAGGTATTGCCTCAAAATGCTTACATTAAAATTAAAAATGCATGATGAAAATTAGACTAAGAGATCCTCAGCTTTTGTTGAGTAATATCCAGTTGCTTTAGGCTAAAATTAAATCAAACCCAGGTGCCCATTTAAAACGGAACACAATACATTAATATTCAGCTCCTACAAGCCGCTGCTGTTACTAACCTTATCTTCCTTTGTCTCTACCAGCCTCCAATTCATATAACACTTCAAAAAGCTTCAGCTAACGTATGAGATATTACATGGAATTGAGGCATCATACTGTATATCACATGTCACTGCAGCACATATACCACAGGGCACTGTCTACTTCTACTCATCTCATTAACAGTCTATCAAGAAACTGCTGGTAGCACAGTGTTTTCCTACTGTGCTTCCTTTCTTTGGAGCTGCCTCCTGCTGCCATTACTGAGGAAAACTCTGCTATCTTTATACCCAACATTAAAACTCAACTTTGCTACAACCACAGCTTTGCTAACTATTCAGAGTGACAAAATGAAACTACATTCTATTATGGCCTTTATGGCTACAGTGACATGACAGTATCATGCCAGATTCAGATTGGCAGTGATTCATAACTGTTGAAAAACCTGTTTTATTGCCTTTTTATATTGTCACTGTCTGCCGATTCTTTACTGCTCTTAACTGGCCAGTAGGGCTTTAAGTTTTCCACAAATGTCTCAGGTAAAAACAATAAGCCTTACCTATTCAGCTGCAGGCCAAATTTTGGCCTTTGTTGTGGCTCAAAAAGTGACATTCATAGAAAAGTCTGGTCTTACTTTGGACCAGAGCATCTGCAGACAATAGTTCCATACCCAACATGTTATGATCCACTTAATCAAGATGCCCTGGTTGCAAAACGCAAGGCGCATCGCACTGCCTTTTTTTTTTTTTAAAATGTAAAATCATATAGCTTTGGGTATCCAGCAAGCACTACCACCGGATTCTCCTCCATTGTTTACCAACTGTAAACTTGTTGTTGAGACCACCACAGAAGGCGCGCCACTCGAATCATCTGAATGGGCAATGGGAAAAAAGCCTAGATGAAATGGGGCACCTCTCTGCTCTGAGTTAAGTTTTTTCAACTTGAGGAGTTTGAAGCACTCCAGGAAAAATGCCAGATACCTAGAGCGCAGAACCATGAAGCGCGTAGCAATGCAAAAACAGCAAGCAAAACGCTTCATTCTCATTAAAAACTATTAGAAAAAGATGCCTCCAGTTGCAAAAATGGATTCTGTGTGATCAGGGCCTAAGGGAGCTGGGAGGGACAAATCCACCAACCAGCTGCATCACATGTATTGCCTATAGAGTGGCTGTGAAAAGCTCTAGCAGCCACCTGACAGACAGCTACACTCTACTGAGTGCACTTTTCTAGTTCTATACATTTTTTCTTATTCTATACAGTAGTGCAGTGGTCATTCAAACTGTGCTTCTTCAGAATGCACTTGGTCTCCAGTATTGCCGCTGGCAACGCTCTCCAGAACAGCTCATACAAGCATCTTCACACTCAACACTGCATTTCCTTGGGTTCTGAGCAATACACATGCTATGACATAGTCGCATCTCTTAGCAAGCCAAAGCCCAGCTGTTTCCAAAAACAAAAGCGTTCATTCAGAATAATACATAGCTGATGCTTGATGCTGATGCATGTTTGATTTTGTTATGATTTTGCTCAAGCCTCTATTTCTTCATTTATTCTTAAATGCACTGGAGCCACTGATGAGAGAGCAAGTTTTACCCAGCATGCCGTTTGTCTGTGTAACAGTTAATAGGGGTCCCCTCTATATATATCCCACAGTATGTACTTCTGGTGGTAGAAATACACTAATAATAAATATGTCTCATAGATCTCAAGAGCTCACACTCAACACTGCACTTCCATGGGTCCTCAGCAATATGCCCGCCAATGAGAAGTTGATCGGATGAATGGTTACTGAGAAAACTGAGGGGCTTATCTACAGACTGACCCTCCATCAATTTTAGTTAGATTTTTGCCCTCTGTTGGCACCAGCTCTATGCCTCTTCATCCCTCTCTTTGTTAACCACTGCCCTTAAAT